ATCGGAGTGGAAGAAAGCGATTTATTTTTAGAAGACTAGATCAAAGTTGTGTGGTACCTGGAGACTCCCATTTGTTATGCTTCCGTATATATGTACAAAGACAGACAATTTCTGCCTTTAACATACACAGGGTCCAAGAAGAAGAACAAAAATGCATTTTGTACATCTCGCGTAAAAGAGTCAGATATTTAAAAAAAAGTATTCGACATGAAACCGCTGAGAGCTATTTTGTTACAAACCCTACATTATAAAAAGGTTTACATTACAAAAAAAAACGCTTACTTTCTTAAAGTGTACGAGGGAGGTCGCAAGTGACCTCCCTCGTGCATAGATTCACAAGTGACGTCACGAGTGACGTCGCGAAGCTCACGACCCTCATGAGGCCTCCACGAGTGACGTCTCGATGGAAAAGGGAGGGAGGGGGAGGAGAATGGGGGAGGAGGAGGGGGAGGAAGAGGAGGGTAGGAGGAGGAGAGGAAGAGGAGAGAGGAGGAGGAGGGGCATACCCTTCTCTCCGTACCCTCACCTCCTCAAGAGCTGCACTCTAATTCGGCATTATACAGAATTGTAAACGTCCTTCATTTTTCACAATCAAATCAACATGGCCGACAGCGTTGCTCGGTTACTTGGTCGCGACGACCAACGGGCATTTATTTTTCTGCGTGCTTTTCTCGCTCGTTCGACTTCAAACACCAAGAAAAAAGAAAGTACTTGAAACCGACCACGGCGGACATGAAGGCTGGATCCCCAAACGTGTGGGAAAAACTACAATAAAAACGATCCCGCCAATCAAGCGACCGCCGAGGGCTAGCTTAGTGAGCTCGGAAGAATATAAACCTGGCTAGGCAATCCGACCTGCTCCGACGCAGCGTTGCTCCGACTGTCTTTGGCCAAGACCGTCTGTTCATGACCGGATGGCCTACTGAATGGAATATGCCCGCGCAACCCTTGTGGACCCTTCCCGTATGAATAGTTTGATCGCTGACCTCAATTTTAGACTAAGAGGTCAATCTTTTCTCTTGTTTTCACAGTGAGTGGTGACGTGCAACGTCGTCGGAAAGGGACTCTCATCGACTCTATCTGCTTGTTTTGTGTGATATAAAGCTCAAACAAACGTCGTATGAATTACCTTCGCGACCTATCATATGTAAACTTTCTTATTAATATAGCATTTTTATTCCGACAGGACGGTATTTAAATACTGTCGAACTAGAACAGTTCGTGGGAGCTAGGCGATGCCAGTTTGGCCTTCCTTTAACGAGTGTCACGTCAGCATCGAATTGCAATTGTAAAAGATCGGTCCCGAAGCGGTTGCCAAGACGCGGTTCAACAACGGGAATCCAGCATTTGGATCAAACACGCGCGTCCCCTTCGAGAGTGAAAAGCTGTTTACGTTTCTCTAGCTGACACTCTCGTAGTTCAAACGTATATTTTTGGACGTCGGTTCGCTCCTGCATCTCCAAGGCCGCAAAAAATAACGTGTCGATTTGTTTCTATCTCATCGCAAACGACCGGTGAGGACCGCCTTCTTTTAGTAAAGGTAACAGTTATGTTGATATCGTAGCGATCGAGTTCGTACTATAGCACTCGACGAAGGCGGTTATCCTAGCCTCGGCATTCGGGCCCGTTTAAATCCGGTTAGCGTCGACATTTCACTGCACGGACACGAAAACCAGAAAAGTGTTGGCGAAAAGGCCGCCTCCGTTTGTTATTAAATATGCACATGCTTAGAAACATGCTATGCTCTCCGCTTGGTTGTTCGTGCTGCCAAAGAAGCTGTCGCCATAGCAACTGCCGCTCTCACGGGGATTGGGAGCTTGTGGGACCACTGAAGTTCTAGTTTTTCTGAACTAGAACGCCGCTTTCCTCCTCTAAGATAAGAATGCGCTCGCGTACCCATTGGCCTGACAGTCAGGTCAAACTGCTGTGAACGACGATCTTCGTAGTGTGGAATACACGTTGTGGAAGCACTGTGGACTTCTTCGCCAAGTTCAGTTTGACCACGCCACCGCTACCTCAATGCATCGAGGGAACTTTAGTCTTTTTGTACGAGCGACAGCTTCGCTGGAGCTCTGAGCGTGTAGAACACAAGACGGCACGCGCCCTCTCGTGCACTGCCGTTTGCCTCCTGGGGAGTAAAGTTATGGCGGGGTCACGCATGCATCGAACGCTTGGAAAGATTAGTCTATTCTGTTTAAGCCCGATTTGTCTATACATTTTCGCTATACTTCCGTGAGTGGCGCTGGGGTGTGAGGTATTCAACGTCATAACCACATCGGTTTCCAGACTACCAGGCGGTACTGACAAGTCACTTTATTTGCCTTAAAATTATTTTTCGTGTGTTTCCGAGCAGAAGACTGGCGTTTCTAAGGTACTGACACAACGTAGTTTCTGGCTAAGCGAAAGAAAAGTATTAAAATTGGGTTTCCGAACCCCTTTTGGCAGCTCTGCATGGGCGGCGCCACACCTGCCCTTCAGGATATGTTTTTTTTTATTCCGTTTATTTCACTTCATTATTACCATAGCAAGCCGAATTATTGTCATTCTAGATTATATTCTCTCCTTCCCCACAGGATTGACTTTTGTGGAGGCTTGTGAACGCCGTGGAGGCTTTTCAACGCCCCTTTTAGTGGATCGGTATCTCAGTAAGACGAAAGGTCAGCAAGGCTTTGAGGGACACTAACACCTCCAAAAATATTTAACTGTTTTGCCTTGCGATTTAATATGCTGTGAAGAGACTACCCAATCTCTATTTTGCTACAGACCCTATTGGAAATGACACTTCAATCCTGATGTGTTATGGAACGCCCTTAGCGCTTCAAATTCCTTCCGTTTATCAAACTCCTCAAACTTAATAGGTCTGGTGAACTTTCAGCGACCCGTGTATATGCCGCTACGTCCGTTGTGGCGATGAATTATACACCATGTCCCAAATAGCGGCCAGGCTCTTTAAATCGACCGCAAAACTCGGTTTCTTAAGCTATCGCGTTTTGATTTTGTACTGCGTTAACCAAAGGTGGTTATTTCTTCTATAAAATTCGCAGAGAGCGAGCTTACCTTAGGAAAAACGTAAAAAAAAGAAGAAAAAAAGGCTCAACTTTTACAGAAACGCAGCGAAGCCACCGGTCTTCAAACCATAGGGCGCCCTATGGTTCGAAGACCGGTGGCTTTGTTGCGTTTTCATAGGAGTTAAGCCTTTTTCTTTTCTTCCTTTTTCCTTAGGCAAGCTCGCTTTTTGCGAATTTTATAGAAGAAATGCACCACCTGTGGCCAACGCTGTACAAAATTGGAACGCGATAGGGTAAAAAACCGATATCTGCAGTCGATTTAAGGAACCTGGCCGCTATTTGGGACAGGCGGTAGTATGGTACATCGAGAATAATGTCGATTGCAATGTCTAGTTAAACCTTTTATACAATTATATGCTTGAGAATCGGAGGAATGTTCACCCTAATATGTCAAAGAGCTTACAGACGTCACATTTAACATCGTAACACCGGTAAACTTAGAGTTTCGAGCACAGTGTATCATACATTTTAGGTGCATTAGACGTCTAACCTTCTTCCTCATTTCCCGCATATATCAGCGCATGGCGCCCCAGTCATCGAGGCTAGAGAGCTTAGATTGAAGAGTAGGTTCGTTTCAAACCATCGGGAGCGTTTGCAATTTAATGGCGGTTGCCTCCCGCTTCGATCGTTCGCAGTGCGCATGCACTGCACTGTCGCGTGGCAAGAAGGAAAGCAGGCAAAAAGGCAAGTACGCTCGCAGACGATCAACGCGTTCGACACCTCCTCGCAGCTCGTATTGATAACGAGGCTTAAAAACCACGTGACCCCTTTCAAGCAGTTGGGAACGGTCCATAATAGAGGCTCTCTAAGGCCTATGCGACGCCGTCGGCTACGTGGAGAGTGAAACGTTCACCGTCTGCACCGAAGCGTTGTAAACACCCCCCCCCCCCCCTCCAAAAAAAAAGTTTTGTAATATTTTGCCTGGCTACCTATTATGGTGTCAGAAGTCTACCAATCAACATTTTGCTGGAGCGTTACCTATACTAATAATAAAGTGAAAAAAACGAAACTGTTCGAAACCGAAACCGAAACTGGACTGGGCAGGAAGAAGAAATATAGAGGAGAAAGTTATCGGAAGTTACGTAACTTAGCAACATTTAAAAAAATATACTGTAAACGACTAAATTTTCGCGAGGGCCTAATTTTCGGGAATTTCGTGAATCGCCTACAAACCCGAAAAATACGTCTCGCGAACAATTCGGGCAATATGTAAACACTACGGAAGCTACGCTCAATTCGCGAAAATTAGAACCCGCGAATAATTTCAAATTTTCCGCTTTGGCCCGATTCGCGAAAATTTGAGCCCGCGAAAATTAAGTCGTTTACAGTATATATTTGCAGTTTTTTAGAAGCCACAAAAAAGGGTATGAATTTATGTGGCTCTTTTAATGTGGTGTGTCTGCCTTCGATGGCCCCTGACTTCGATTATCTTTCATGGTTGTGTCTACAGTCTAAACCACCGAAAAAGCCACGTAAGCACGGAGAAGGCAGTGAGCGCGACTGAAACCAGCCAGTTCTTGATCGGCGGCTATCGGAAGCAAAGGAAACAAATTTCGAGCCGGAAATCGGGTTCTTGTTAGTTCTGGTCTCACATATGTCATGTGCAAATGAAACCCTCGGCAAGCATAAATACCCTGTCAGTGTCCCTTTAAACCGAGTGTGTTATTCTTCAGACCTAAAATCCGCTTTCAACAATAAAAGATGGCTTCCAGGTATCAAACCCAGTGTGCGAAAAGGAAAATGCAAAAGTTTTAATATGAGAATCAATCAGCACAGATAGTCGCACACCTGCATTTTCGGAAATGGTACTGCCAGTTGTCTATTTGAGTGAACACTATTCTGGACACTATACAAATGGTAACCAAAATGATTTCCTAGGTTATAGACCTAACCAGTGGAAACTCACTGGGCCCACACCGAAAAGGCGAGATTATGGTTCACAGCCAAAGCGTCATGAAAGGCTACATCGGGCATCCAGAAGCTACTGCTGAAGCATTGGGCGATGATGGCTGGTTGCGTACAGGTAAAAGGCCAAATAAAAATTTATATTTGCAGTTATCACAGCGACCTCTGAGTTATACTAGACTGGAATATCTCTTTTGAACTCGACTAATGCACAGACGCTTCACGTGCACTTTATTATATCCTGTCTCAATCTCATTCTTGCGCGTTGAACAATTTTAGACAAAATAAAATTACACTTTTTTTTTAACAATGCATCAAAACGAACAATTTATCTAGATCATCAATGATTGCTCATATGGGTTATTTAACACGTTTCACTCAATATATAAACAATCTCACAGTGGTATTATCCACATCTCCTAGTAATTCAGGTCCCGGGCGTCCACTTTCTGACGTCACGGTAGCCAGGCGAGTGCGCGGGAAAAGCTAGGAGTGGGCTAGGCGTGGAGCTTCACTGTGCCGGCGCGCTGCCGGCGCGGCGCGTAACTTCGAATGCAAATACTTTTATGATTGTTATTAAAACGGAACCCGTATATGTCTCATCGTTCAGTCGACTTTCAAGGTTCTTGAGCGAAAACACGTCGGCTACAGGAAAGGTACCAAACCGTTTACGAATTAGGCAGGCGAATGAGAGGCGATGAAATTTAGAAGGATGGCAAAGGCGAATTAAGAGGAATCAAAGTGAATTACGAGGAAACAAAGTGAACTAAAAGTAATTAAAGAAGAAGTAAGAGCAGTCAATGGGAAATAAGAAAGACTATAGACCGAATTATGTAAAAAAGAGAATGTGAAAAAGAGAACGTGAAACAAAGTAAATCATGTGTGTCTGTAATGCATCGGCGCTTGGGCTCTCGCCTTCAAGTCGTCTCAGAGATAACATAACAAACCCTGTGAATTTTTTCCGCGTGCATAAACCGCGTTCCAAAGATCAGGTTCTACGTTTTATACCTAGGTGCCCATGATAATAATTTTGACTTCTAGGCTTCGTGTATTAAATAACGATGATTAAAAAACGTGGTAAATATTCTCGACAACACCCTTCAAACACTTGTGTAAGTTGTCACTGTTATGAAACCAAAGGAAGCACTGTCCAGCAATCACAAGTATTCTAGTTTGAAATATACTTTATAGTCTCTCTATTTTATCACATTGAGAGCGTGCTTTCCTGATGATGAAAGGCTCCTGGATGTGAAATAAATACAATGAAGTAAAAATTAATTTTCTCCAGCAAACTATGACGCATAAAAGGAAGTTAAGCTTAGGTACATGCAATGCTAGTACCTACATTTTGTTTGCAGATGTTAAGAAAACATATTGAAAGACTTCGAAAACAGGAGTATTCATCCGAACGTTTTTATTGTATACAATAGAATTTGCTCTGAGAACAAACATCGCTCGCACACATGCATAGATTACTTCATCAGCCCACACATGCTTACACCCGAAAGCACACTGCCCAATAAGTAAGCAGTGAAAACAAAAAACTCATATTTAATCTCTCGATCTCAAGCAAACGACTGTGCCGCACATTCGTGTCTTGCTTTTCATTGCTTCCGATCCGGCTGTCGTCTAAAAAGCTGTATTGCCGATTTCCGTAATTTGTATAATTTTCTTTTTTGTTATATATACTCGGTACAATTAACAATACACTTATAGAGCGTTCGATGTTGAGGACGGAAGAGATGTCGCGACCGACCCCGAGCTTAGGGGAAAACGTCCTGTTTATACTCTCGTGCCGCCTGACTCGCATCGACGATCCAGTAACGTCGTCGTCTTTTATCGGCGGTTTGACAGGCCGATAGACCGCAACAGAGCTACTCCCCTCCCCTCCCCCCCCCCCCCCCCCCCCCCCCCCGAGCCTTCGCCTGCAGGTATGCATACAGCTTGTAGGGGAGGGACCGACTGAGCTGTTGCGGTTGCAGCAAGTGAGTTGGGCTATTGCCGTTGGCGTTATCTGTAGCGATTAACGAGGCGGCAGGTGCCCAGTCACTCGTCCGCCGCCTGCCGCTGCCGCTCATGACTTCGCTGCATTGCTCGAGGACAAGAGGGATCAAGATGCATAAGAAATAATTTGGCGCACCCTGGTAGTCGGACAAATGTCATCAAAATTGTCGCTGGTGCTTGGCATTAAAGACTTCGGCTGGCTCTCTGCGACTGCATGGCCCAGAAGCGGTAACATTGTGATTCCCAGTACAAAGCAAGCAGGCTTTGTATAGTATTATGCTTTGGAAGCAAAGAATGATGCAACATTTTTGAAGAAAAAGCAAAAAAAAAAAACATTTGTAATATGTCCGCTTGTTTATAAACAAAGCAAACGAAAAAAAAATTCCCCTAATGGAGTTTCAATATGACAGCACTTAATGACACCAATATCTATACGAAGGCACCGCAAATTTCTCTGTCCTGTAGGGGGAACATTTGTTCAATGAGCTTTAAGCTGCAATGCGTTGACACAGAAACACTGTCTACATAGGTATAGAATACGTTTTTTTTTAAGCAGTGCACTAAGTGGCGTTTATACCCGTATTTTTTTTTTTTTTTTTGCTTGAAAGGTAATTTGATGCTGGTGCTTTTGAACATCGTTATTTCGAAAGAAAGCCTTGTAATGGCCTCCGAAATCAAGGAAAATTGGATATCTATGTTGTGGGAGAAACCTGCCAGTGATATTAACTTAACCATGACTTTGTATTTCTAGAAAATTCTATTTCTAGAACATTGGTTCATATTTCGCAAAGGTGTAAGGTGTATTTCACAACCGAGAGCTTGAAACCCGCAAAAAAAAGCCTTTAGAGCGGAATGCATATATTTCCATACGGGATGATTGACCAATCAAAAGATATGCGGAGAAATTGTTTTCATAAATACGGCCTAACCATGGTTAGTGCACGAGCGCTAAAAATAAAATTTTTTCTTCTGCATAGCGTCTCATGCGCGCACTTCCGACGCGTGCATTTCTAAAACAACCGTTAAAATCGCGTACTTCGAATTGAACGAACATGGGAATTTAAACAGGGCCGATATTTCACTTTCAGGAGATTTAGGCTTATACGACACCGATGGAGGAATTCATATTATCGACAGATTAAAGGAGATGATAAAATGCATGGATAATACCGTCACCCCCGCTGAACTGGAAGAACTTCTATTGACCCATGAGGCTGTTGCAGAGGCCGCAGTTGTGGGGGTTCCCAGCTCCAAGTACGGCGAGGCTCCAGCAGCTTGTGTCGTTGTCAAAGACGGTTTCGAGAAAAACCTCGAGAGTCTGTCGATGGAATTAAAGGAGCTCATTGCAGGTATATGCCATGTTCTCGATATAGAAATTTCGTTTTATGTTGTATTTCAAGGACGACCTACCTCGTATCTTGTTTTAGTTTAAATCACACGTTAACTGCACCAAATATATTTATTTAAACAAATAACTTATAGGCTCCAAATATGAATGATGGTCACCTATAAAAGTATTATTTGTTTTGTGTGCACGAGACCGTAAAAGTACCTACAAATTCGAGATAAAGAATTTCAGGCAAAACGCAGGAAGATACTAGTAGGATATCTTGGCAGTCATATGGAAGCCACCCTTACTTAGAAACCATCTATTTTTCCTTAGCAGTCACCTCATTTAAAACACTACGACTACCTTTCGTCACCAGAGGAAAGTCGCACTCCCGTGTTTATAGGGAATATAAAAGATATAGTACTTTTTGAACATCATTTATGGTTGGTAAAAGCTACGTTCAGAGTCTGAAGATTTTGAAGTTGCAATAAAATCTTGTGACCCGGAAACAAAGCTTTCAAAGAAGCTCTTGTCCAGTGCACCGTCCAATATTATTTTTGTGCAAGACCTGGTGAAGTTGCATTACTTTGATTTTAAAGTTTCAATGAAGAAAACATTGGTTAACTTACTTCTTGCAAGCACGAGGGACGAAAAACTACAAGATTTTAAACCACATTCTGAGAAATGATGGGGTGTATAGGGGCACACCCTATGTACCATCATCCCAAGACAAAAGTTCGACGTTCAGTCCAAAGACGTCAAACCGACGATACTAACTTTCAAGAGTGGCTTGATTGTCGGCCGATACAACTTATTAGAATATATAATGTACGCATTAAAGGCTACAGTAAGATAACCGAGGTTTTTTTTTGGCACTGCTAAACCTCGGTGTTTTTTTTTTTTTATTCAAGTCTTCCATACACAGGTTAGCTATTTTGTACGTTATATCCAACAGCTATAATACCGCTCATAAAAGTTGGTATCGCCAACTCGACGTCAGTGAAAAGAACGTCCAAATGTAGTTTCGGGGTGTTAAACATGGGGCAAGCGGGGCACCCCTATATACCCCCTATTTCTGAGAGTGCAGAACAGTTTACTGCTTTTTTATCTCCGCACTGAAACAAAACACAGTTTAATATATGATTTTTCCAATAAATATATCATAACTTAAATAAATTATATAAGATGTGTGTATAAGTTATATGTAAGTTACTATATGATTTTATAATTTTCCAAATGTTTATTGGAGACGTTCACATAATTTTACACAAGGGATGCTCAGAAATGATTGAAGGAATGGAGTGATGAGCTTGCGCTACATTCTACTGATTTTTATTTGAATTGTTTCTGACCTTTCTTTCTGTTTCGCAGATCAAGCGGCTGTTTTCAAGCAGCTGTACGGCGGAGTTTCCTTTATGAAATCTCTTGCCAGGTCCCAAACCGGAAAGATCCTGAGACAAGACCTCAAGTCAAAGATTGCTCATGAAAAATAAAATCGAAAAATAATGGAGCTTGAGAAACTGTATAAGCCTTACTTTCGCTAATCTATGACTAGCGATAGGAGTGTTTCTTTGTTCAGACTGTCGTAAAAAAGTATCCAAAAATTAAACGAACTTGCGTGGATAATATTTTATGAAGGAGAAAGTAGTGAATACCGACCAATTCCACGTGAAGCCGAAATTTGGCTATTCTTTAACAATTTTAAGCAAAAATACCCAGACTCCGGCAAAATAATATCAACTTTACATTTATGTTGGTGTTTGGGGGGCTTCAGGTACCTAAATTGACAGACGGACAAAAGCAAAATCTGGCCCAAACCACTGTCCTACTTTGGAGAGAGTGTGCGGAAGAATAAAATTGAATAATTGTTTTTGAGCCAAAAAACAACGGCATTCAAGAAACGGCACCGGTAACCCCTTTGTCTGATACACTGTTTAGCATGACGTAATGAACGCGACATTCAGCGCATACGACTACATCTACCTCCCTCCTCCTTGGTGACTGGTTTATCATTTTTTTCTTACCTATATTATCACCCATACCTTCGGGTGATAACGGGGGGCGACGGGGCGCCCGCCGCCTCACAGGGGTTTCCCAACTGACCCCAATCTAAAAACGTTGGTACAGCTTCGTCCTGCCCTGTTTGATTTTCTCACTTCATCTTCGTCGTTTGAGGTGTTTTCATCGTGTATAGCCCTCTAAACTCAGTGGGGAGACGCTTCCCTTAAATTGGCTGACAAAGGAAACCAAGAAAAAAATAATTATTCTGCGATTTAAGTTTCATTCCATGGTTGAAACCACAAGCTCAAAATAAAGAGAAGCTAGAACAGAAGTAATAACTGAAAAAGTCACGCATAAAAAACTACACTCAAAGTTTGTTTGTATTTTTTTTAAGTACTTACAGAACTCTTTAGTTAATGTGACTTTCCACCTCCGCACAGCTCGCACATGTGGATACTGTGCAGATGTGCGAATAACACAGATCGTTCCATTTTTAGATAACAGAAAGTATAAAACAGAGAGAGGACGAAACACAGACGAGTACATGAAAGAATGTACTCGTCTGTGTTTCGTCCTCTCTCTGTTTTATACTTTCTGTTATCTAGTACATCGTACCAACACGCTCGTTAGGAATATAGTTCCATTTTTGTTTGCGGAGAAAGGATGTAGTTGTGTCGGGGTAAGTGGTGAGTTTCCAACTCTCCTAGGAAGGGTCTATATCGAGAGTAGAATCCCCTGCTTCGTTGTATTAACACAGGTTGGTAAAAGTGTATTCCTTGAAAAAAGCTGCAGTGCCTAACTCGGATTTTTTATTGCATTGCATCTTTTGTGCGGATAAATTCCTAATCCTTTAGGAGCAAAATTGCAAATTTGGTTAATGGAAAATTCCAATCTTTGTGATGATGCTATTCCATAGAGCAAAATTATAAAGAGAACTCCTGCAACTTCACTACTTCCTTCTTATTGGACCACATAACCAGTGACATTCCAGGTTATCTGACATGCTTTTGAAAAACCGGTTCTAATACCTCACTTTTGATTGGTAGTAGAAAAAAAAATTTCAAAGATGGTCTCTCGTATTGAGAACCAAGTGGTATAATCGCCGTTCCCTGATGTCGATGTTAGAAATAGTTCTGCGTTGGTATTTAACGATAAACGCTGGAAGACATTATTAAACGAGACAAATATTGTGATAATTGTTTTCCCTTTATACATAGCTGTTTGATTAAGAAGTTACACAATTTAAGGGTATAAAAGGAAGAAACTCCCTGTTGTATGTTATGTTAAGGCAAGTCTCTCTAATCTTTTAAAGAAAATAGAAGAACTAATATGCTATTAATATTCACGAAATGCTCATGCCACATGGTCCAAAAGGACAATGCAAACAAAAACCACAGCAAGATGAAAAATGTACAACTGCTGATTGCATCGCATTGTTGAGAAAAGAAAAACGTTCCATCAGAACCTCCTGCCCGGCTCTCCAAACTTTTTTTTTTTGATACTGATTTCGGTTCAGTTATGCGTCTCTGTGTAACTTTGCAAGAGCTGTAAAAGTAAAAAAGAGTAATCTGACAAGCCTTAGTAATAAAGATTAAAAAATCACATAATCCACAAAGGAAATCATGCTTAAAGGGACCCTGCAATCCTATTTAAGCGTCTACCTTTTTTGCGATTTCCACATCTCTCTTGGTTCGGGCAACCCAGTGGTCTCGGAGAGAGTAACTAAATATCAGTGCGTCATACTTTAACCGGACGACGTGGAAACTTCGTCCTACGCAGACTTATACTCGTTAATTGCAAAATGTAATGGATTACAATTACAAATTACCGAGCCTCAAATGTACCGTAAAGTTCCAAGAGATGCCCCACCCCCGAAAGATAGCCCACTCCTATTTTTGGCTTGATTTGCTATTTTTTTTTAAACATCGAGAGATACCCGACTCCTAGTAATAGTAGAATTGCGGTCAATGATGACCTCGGCGTAAATGCGGCTAGTTAGCTATGGCGGAATATAAGCGAACGTTGCTAGCTGGGAAGTACAGTCATCTTTGCTTCGTTGCCCCACGCCACCATAACAAGCTTGAAAGGAACATGACCTAAAAATAGTAATGTTTTAAAATTTTCTTCATTGTACTCCGAAAGTTAGGGAACTCCATATTTTCACCTGATTTGCTCTTGGTGTTAGGTGGGTTATCTCTCGGGATTTTACGATAATGGATTACCATTACAAATTACTTTCGCTGAAAAGTAACGAATTACTTTACTCGTTACCTTGCAAATTATTTTCACGTTACTTTTTACGTACACTTATCAGGAAAACAATAGAAACAATTTTGTTTTTTCGAAAATGTTCCGCGAGACTACTTTTCATTTCTCATACGCCCGTAATATGGTAGTCCTTGTAAAAATAAAGTATTGTATTTAAGAGCAAGAGTGTAGGTGCACTCCGTTCACCTATAATCTGACAAGGCACCGAAAGCTGCAACCACACCCGCCATCCCGCTAGCCTACAGCCTCCGGAAATGATGCCTGGCATTGTGCAGGCCAAGCTAGCGGTACGCATGCTCAGTAGCAGAGTCTCTCTCCGCTACGAGATTTGGTGCTAAAGAAGCGATCTACGAAAGCTCCCTTATGACTCGGGTGTTTCACCTGTTATTTACAAGAAAAGAAAACTTGGTTCTAACGTTATAATGTATAGCCCCCAATGCAGAATGCAGACGTCCCAGCTTACCTTGATGTGTTTCCGTAGATTAGAGTTCGTGGTTTTTGATGATGACATTGTGTGATTTTTGGCAAGCAAAGTATGCACTGAAGCACTAAGCTTCCGTTCTCCTTAATGCCCTGAATTCTGAACATCTCATTAAGAGATGGCCATGGAGACGACGGACACTCCATGACCGAAAACACGACCAGTAAGCAAAAAAGGGACGGGTACGGGTTATCGATCGTTTCATCGGTTCTCACTTTTATACCAATATTCGTGGAGGCCAGGGGAGGGGAGGGCATAGAGTACGAGAGAAGCGGTGGCCATCGGTCTCACAAAACAATAGAGGATCACACCACTTTTACGCGTTCTCTCTCTCTCTCTCTGTCAGCACTCCTTAGATAATGTAACCCTTTTTTATGTTGACAGTTGACTGTAAAGTGAGGAGTGGACTCGACAACAATGTCCAGACAAGTAAATCAACAGAAGTATTGTCCGTACCCTTGAAGACCATGCCCTTAGCCACACACCGGGCACTTTTCAGCCGTGCCTCAAGAGCGTGCTAGAATAAAGTAGCGCACATTAAAGGCAAAAAGAATTCGAGCCCCTTGCGCAAGGCTACATCGTTTGTTACGCGAGCTGTGAACCCGCGAATCGAGGGGGTACGGACCCGCGTTTGATGTCTGCGCAGGTGGCGGGTGACGTCGAAGAAGTTGGAAAGAGTGAAACGGTGTAAAAGACAAAAGCAATTAAGCACGAAGAGCTTCATCCTGCCCGGGAGATGAAGAAAAACACGATGGAAGACGACGGAGAGCCTACTCGGCTTTGTGTTACTTGATCTATGACTTTCGTATATTTGTACACGGACTACAGTTTTCCATTAATGCAAAATGTTGTTCGTATTTAGTATCCATAAATTAATATCAGTCCTTCACTTTGGTTCGACCTTTCACAGGAGATATCCTTTGATAGGCGCAGGTATAAGCCCCCTGAGGGGGAAAGCGGAGAAACGTAAGAAAAATAGAAGAGGTCGTTCTAGTGTAATATCTGAACTGGTTTTGTGGCAACAGCACTATCTTCAAGAAAGTCTACCCGGAAGAGCCCTAAAACTATTAAAAGCCTCCGCATAAGTGCTTTTATCTAGATACGTTAATGTTCACAGACAGTTTGCTGGATGTCGCCTACCTTAATGGTAGGCAAAATGAAATCTGACTTCCGAAATTTACATATTCAGCCTTATACATTTGCTCGTGAAATACGCTTCTCTAGAGTATGCGAGTACACAATTTTTAACTTTACCGTGATGTAAATGCAGTTATCAAAAATAGTGCTAACTCCTACTAGTAATTACGTGCATTTTGAGACCTAAGCGCCATGTTAATAAATTTAGGTCATGATATGAAAATATATATTTGCTGAGCCAAAAATTATTTATTTTTCTGCGTGCATAATGGGCGCTACTTTGGCAATCTAGAAGGAGAAAATTATAATATCAAAACGTTTTACCATTTCCAATCTGACCGCTGACAGCTCAGTAGAGCACAAGATACAGATGCAATATGCTAGAGTGTTAGGCTACCTATTTAACCCGTACGAACGGTCTGATTCGACGATCGTATGAGACTTGTATAATGTTCAGATAACGTGGGGTATGCAAGAATGCTTCTCGACTAGGTTAAAAATTTAGCACATCAATCCCCCTCCCCCCCCCTCCCCGATATAAAGAAGCAATTCCTTGCGACTCGCCTACTACGCCCACTTCGCTTTTAAAATAGTTTTATTTACATA